AAAAATAATTAATTAATATTTATTTAATAAAAACTGAAACCGAACCGATTTCATTTATAAAAATCAATAACCAAACCGATTAGCTTATAACAATTTTGGTTTAGTTTTGGTTCACAAAATTAAAACCAAATTTTTTTAGTTAATTCAAAATTGGTTTCGATTTTAGACCAAAACCAGTTTTGCCCACCCCTAATTCCACCCAATCTTGCTGCCTAAATTGTGCTCAGAAGTCAGAATGCATTAGTCACTTCTTATTAGAATTTTTTTTTTACCTTTTTAGATTTTTTTTTCCATTTCCCCCACAATACCGCTTTGTTTCTTGATAATTCTTGTTATCCTGCCCAATCTTGCCGCCCAAATTGTGCTCAGAATGCATTTGTCACTTTTTATTAGATTTTTTTTGGGCAAACTAGTAATTTAGCAACTTAGCAACTAAAAAAAAACTTAAGTATAAAAATGAAAATTAACCTAAACTCCAACAAAGCAGCCATTTTCATCTTTCTTTTTTCTTTGTTCTCTCAACTTCGGAGGAACTTCCTACTCTCCCTTTTTCTTGTATCAATCAACAAAAGTGGTGGCCAGTGGTGACTCATTTTGTGGTTGCCATCGAAATTGTCAACTTGATCCCTGTTGTTCCTTTCTTTTCATAGATTCTGTCATCCACTCTATACAATTAACAAATTGTCCAAAATCAAAGGTATAAATCTTTTCTTATTTTAATTAGATTTGAAAGATTTTTAGAAATTTTTTATTTTAAATTTTAATTCTTTATTTTTTAACTAACCTTAACCCTAAAATGAATCTATTTGTTTTTTATGATAATATTTACTTGTGTTAACTTCATTTTTTATCTAAAATGTAGTGTAATTATTTTTGCATGAAAATTAATAGTGAAGAGCATCAATCAATAAATTCAAGTGTAAGTTTCTAACTTGGATTTATTTTAAACATCAAATTTAAGTTTGTAGCATGAGATTATTATTGATTTTAATAAAAAATTTTGCTATTAAAATTTGAAAACAAGGTTAAAAATGCTAAATATTAAGTCAGTTAAAACCGTAACTAAAATCAAGAATATAAAATAAAAATAACTAAATATTAAAAAATCATAATAATTTAATACGATTAACTGTTGCTATATTTTAAAAATCAATTATCCGGTTAACCACAAAATCAGTTGCGATTACAACCGAAACCACCCGACGCCCAGCCTTAACCACGCATGTCAGATTGTGAAAAAGGTTCCGAAGGACATCACTTCTACAATCGTGCTATCGGTAGCGTTTTATTATTATTATTATTTTTTATTATTTTATTTTTGTCAAATGTGCTATTAGTAATGTGTGCTGCGAATAAACTGACAGTTAGTACTATTTATATGCTGCGAATAAACTGACAGTTAGTACTATTTATATTCAAATACATACTATTTTTTTTTTTTTTGACAAAAGTAATGTTTAGGAAATTAGTATAAGTTAGTTGTTAGCAATTGGGATTCTCAGAATGGTGAACATTTCACCCCTCAAATGAGGCGCGTAGCTATTAAATCGCAAGTTGATAAAGTTCACGATGGTGACAGAGTCACAGAACTCGAAACCCTGATTTTCACCTTACTCAAACCCTAAAACTTGAGGCGAACCATTGAGCCTCGGGCCCGATTCGCCAAATACAGACTGATTAACCTCATTGAAATTGAGGTAATTTAATTAAAATTTAGTTTAAATTGAAATTAATTTAAGTTGATTTGTATTATAAAATTTTAAA